CTGCTTCTTGTTCTATCCTCAGAGGCCAAGATGAACAAGTTTTCTCCCTCCTCCTTATGGCACCCTTTTAGATATCTCAAAACTGCTATCATGTCCCCCCTCAATCTTCTCATTTCTAAACTAAACAAACCCAATTCCTGCAGTCTTCCCTCATAGGTCCTGTTCTCTAGACCTTTAATCATTCTTGTTGCTCTTCTCTGGACCCTCTCCAGTTTTTCCACATCTTTCTTGAACTGCAGTGCTCAGAACGGGACACGATACTCCAATTGAGGCCTAACCAGCACAGAGTAGAGCGGAAGAATGGCTTCTCTTGTCTTGCTCACAACACACCTGTTAATTCATCCCAGAATCATGTTTGCTTTCTTTGCAACAGCATCAGACTGCTGACTCATATTTAACTTGTGGTCCACTATAATCCCTAGATCCCTTTCTGCCGTACTCCTTCCCAGACCGTCGCTTCCCATTCTGTATGTGTGAAACTGATTGTTCCTTCCTAAGTGGAGCACTTTACATTTGTCTTTATTAAACTTCATCCTATTTATCTCAGACCATTTCTCCAATTTATCCAGGTCATTTTGAATTATGACCCTATCCTGCAGATTAGTCACAACCCCTCCCAGCTTGGTATCATCTGCAAACTTAATAAGTGTACTTTCTATACCAATATCTAAATCGTTGATGAAGATATTGAACGGAGCCGGTCCCAAAACAGACCCCCGCGGAATCCCACTTGTTGTGCCTTTCCAGCAGGATTGTGAACCATTAATAACTACTCTCTGAGTACGGTTATCTAGCCAGTTATGCACCCACCTTATTGTAGCCCAATCTAAGTTGTACTTACCTAGTTTATTGATAAGAATATCATGCGAGACCGTATCAAACATCTTCCTAAAGTCTAGGTATACCACATCCACCACTTCTCCCTTATCCACAAGACTCATTATCCTATCAAAGAAAGCTATCAGATTGGTTTGACATGATTTGTTCTTTACAAATCCATGCTGGCTGTTCCCTATCACCTTGCCACCTTCCAAGTGTTTACAGATGATTTCCTTAATTACTTGTTCCATTATCTTCCCTGGCACAGAATAAAATAACTGGTCTGTAGTTTCCTGGATTGTTCTTGTTTCCCTTTTTATAAATGGGCACTATATTTGCCCTTTTCCAGTCCTCTGGAATCTCTCCTGTCTCCCATGATTTTCCAAAGATGATAGCTAGAGGCTATCCTCAGAGGAAATACTGCAGAAAAAGTTTTATGGTCCAGAAAATGTGAAAATAGAGAGAAGGCACATAATGTTAAGAATTCAATGATAAAAAAAAAGATATTAAAAACACATACTCTTCAATATAAGCTTTGTCTAATAGGAGGTATGAATGTGCAAGGAATGCAAGATCAGACACCATATAACACATCATCATAAACCTTTTCATCTGTGCTTACGTGTGTTTCTGCAGTTCTAGTAAGATAAAGTAGGAACTGCAGCTTTCTGGAAGGTTTGTTTGACTTCTAAACAATTTTGGATTGCATTTATCTGGAAGCAGATAAGATAAGAAAGAAACCCATCTCTCCCTCTCTCTCTTTCTCTGTACGTGTATACATCTATACACACACACATATTTCTAATTATTACTTATTAAACTAAATTACTTATTACACTAAACTTTTTATTTTGTCATCCATTTGCAACTGTAACTGATTGGTCAATTTAACTTTTGGTTTGTAATTAATTTCTAGAAGAGTTGGTCAAGTAGCGTAAGATAAGAAAACTAAATTGAAAACAGAACCCCTGATGCATGAAACATTTTGTGAATTAAAGTCACAAGGTCAACTCTCAATGATTAAAGAAATCATATTATTCATAAATAATGTGTCTTCACTATTCAGAGACTTTGAACCATTTTTATTATTGAATATTAGTCTAAAAACTTGTCCTGGAAGTTTAGGACTTTCATCCTGGCCACATAGCACTAAAATGAAGTGTTAAAATAAACAGTTTTGCAAACAAGTTGTTGGTCAAAAATTATTTAGCCAAAATACTTGCCAAATACTTGCAATTGCCAAATACATTACACAATGTTCTGTTTGTGAATGCTTGGGGAACACTCTAAGTTTTGACTAATAAGCAGTTCACCCAATTCTTATGTGCTATTATGAGGCCACTTGTTCAGGATTCAATGAAATGAGCATAGAAGCCAAGATTGTTTAAAAAAATAGGACCTGCAAGTTATAGTCCTACATACACATTTAAGTTTATATGTGGCCTGATTTTCAAAAGCGTTGAGCCATCAGCAGTTTCTACAAAAACCAATATATTCTTAACAGCCAGTGGCAGCAAATGAGTGTTAAGCACTTTAAAATCAGTCAATTTATTGTAACATCTAAATATAGACTTGGCCTTAATTTCATGCACATATTTATGAAAAAAATAGTTAGAATGTCTAATTCCAGGGCTATCAATTAATTACAGTTAACTCACATAATTAACTAAAAATCATGACTAAACAATTTAATTTTGATTAATTACAGTTTTAGTTGCACTGTTAAACACTAGGAACTCAACTGAAATTTATTAAATATTTTGGAAGTTTCTATATTTTAAAATATTTTGACTTAAATTACAACTCCGAGTACAAAGTACATAGTGATCACTTTATATTACTTTATTAGAAATATTTGCACTGTAAAAAAATAAACAAAATAATAGTATTTTTTGATTCACCTTCTATAAGTACTGTGGTATAATCTCTTTATAGTGAAAATGCAGTTTATAAATCTAGATTTATTATATAGTTGTACTCAAAAACAAAACAAAAAATAAAACTTTAGCGCCTATAAGTCCACTCAGTCCTACTTCTTGTTCAGCCAATGGCTAAGACAAAAAAGTTTGTTTTCATTTCCAGGAGAGAATGCTATTCACTTCTTAGTGACAATATCACTTAACAGGGAGAACAGGACTTTGCATGGGACTTTTGGTGCCATCATTGCAATATATTTGAATGCCAGATTCATATGCCCATTCATGCTTCAGCCACCATACGGGTATGTCTAGACTGCATCCCTCTGTTGGCACTTTGTCGGCAAAAAGCAATAGTCTAGAGGGGGATCTATCAAGAAAGAAAGCCTTTTTCGGCAGATCCCTTATGTCTCCTTTCCCCTCTAGACTGCCACTTTTTGCCGACAAAGAGCTGAGTCGGCAAAATGTGGTAGCCATTTTATATAAAATGTGACTCAACTCTTTGGGGGAGAATTATGTTTCCTAATTTATTTTGCCTGAATTCTGCGATATATTTGATGTTATAGCAGGCTCAGATGATGAGCCAGCACATGTGAACACTTTTGCTACAGATTTGAAATGAATGTGAGATTTGTAAAGAAAGACACAGTACTCACCCTCCTCTTGTCTCTATGGTCACATTTTCAGTCCCTCCTACCAACAATCATGGTCTGTTGGTCTTGAACTAATATGAAAAATATTTTGTTTTCTCTCCCTTCCTATAACTAACTAGAACTAATTTCTGAGGGCACCTAAATTAGAAATGTTAGAATACTAATTACTTTGAATCATAATCTCCTTTTGTTTTCCTGTTTCATAGTTGTGAAACTTTTTTACATTTTACATTATATAGAGATTTATATTTGGTTTATTCAGAAAGAGTAAAGGAGAAATTTGTGACTGGAAATATTAGTAGACCAGAATCATTATAAATTACTTACCTCGCTTGTGATCTCTACTTGATCCATGGTAAACACTCTCTCTCGAAATTAAATTTTTAAATTCTTTCTATATGCAAGAACCATTCTTAGCCTCTCCCTGATCATGGTCTTTTAATTGGGCCAAATTTATGTGCTCTGCTTTAGTGTTGTAAACACTGCCCATCTGGGATTGAGCTAACTTTCTCTGTTCATGTACATAGGAGATGGTTTACTTTTATAGCATAGACTCTGCTGAAGGGTGTGCATTAAAATAATTATCTAAACTGTTTGGAGTATCATTTTTAATTTCTCTATAGTGGGGTTGTACCTAGATGTTTGAGAGTATTAAAACTCCTATTTTGCACTCGCACAGAAATAGGAGAGAACCTAGAATAAAATGCTGCATGTTAACTGTTCTAAGCAGCTCAGATATCTAAAGCCAAACATTTCTGCCTTTAAATGCATAATTTGATCCAACAATAGGAAAGGATTTTGTTTTAAACTATCTCCTTTGTCAAACAAAACAGAAACGCTGATTGTTTTTTGTCCATCTTAGACAATAACACTCAGTTAAAAGTATTTATCTTAAGCAAAATAGATGGCAATTACTTGAGTTAAAAGTATTTATCTTAAGCAAAATAGAAAGCATTATAAAGCATTATAAAGATTACCTTAAAATGTATTATAGCCTTTAAATTTCCATTTTTTCTCATTGCATCTGCAATCTGTAGCGATATATAGTTTACAAATTTATTATTTTCTGTGATACATTATTAATAGAATAGTCAACCAGGTCATTACGACCTTTTCCACAGTATTGGAATTGCATATCTTATCTTCTGTTAATCTGATAGTTGCTATAATTATGTTTATCACCTGTATTTGATTTTTTCAAAAGATATTTCAAGTGCAGTAAGTTATTTTTCAAATGTATGTGTTTTTAATGAGAGAAATGATTAGGGCATGATCACTAGTAGACTCACTGTGTGCCCTTTGGTAAACCACTCTTTTTCTCTGTGCCTCACTTCCTAATCTGCAAAATGTAGATTATATACATTCCTATCAGTCTGGAGTGTAGAATGTGATGGTGATGCTTTCAAGTACTCTAGTAATAAAGGCCACACAAGTAACTAGAGAAGATATACAAGGTTTCTTTCTAGTGTGCAATATAGAAATAAGTAACGAGTAGTTCTGTGGCACCTTAAAGACTAACACACACACACACAGTACTAGTATCATGAGCTTTCATGGGCAAAACCCACTTCTTCAGGTGATAGAAATAAATGTATTTGTCTTTGTCTTTCAGAAAAATGTGATGAACCACTGGTCTCAGCATTAACCCATTCGTCCTTCAGTACTTCATCATCTATGACGAGTAGCTATGCACCAGGATATGCAAAGCTAAACAAAAGAGGAGGTAAGGAAAGCTTTTTCCTAACACTCATATAGCATATACTATACTTATATAATGTAAAATAAATGTGAATTATTTATTTTAAATAAAATATGAGTATTGATGCACAACAGTACTGTATTGGTGCTGACCCTAATGATCATTTAGTTGTCTGGTGAAACATTTTCTGTAACAGGAAATTTTCAGCTACAATATCATATCAATCTTTTTGAACCAGGTGAGTGGGAAAACCTTTGCTATAAATGGCTGAAGGAATATTTACAAGGTTTGTGGCTACTGAAGCAATAGAAAATCACCCTGACATTCTGCATAGGTTAGTTGATGTGTTCACCAGTCTTACTAGTGTCACTTCTGCTTAGCTCCCTCTGACATCTTAGTTTCCTTTTAGGATCCTGTGTTCTTAACCCATAGAACTTGAGGATTTCCGAGTAGGGCAGTCTTTAACTTCCTGCATTTGGAATTCCAATAGATTTGGCTCCAGTATTAGGAAGTCACTGATAATTTGTCAAGTGGGGAAAATAATTATTTTTTAATCTAAAATCTCTTACTAAAATGTTACAAGTACTCGGGAAATAGATTAGAAAATTAATATCAGAACTGTTCCTTGCCAAAGAAATTGTGGCAGGAATATAGTGAGACGACCTTATGATGTCCACAACTATGAGAAGATTGGAGGTTGAGGAGGAGAGAGCATCAGATTGAACCCTAAGGTTCCTGGATGTATGTTTATGAGATTTTGTTGTTCTTAATAGTCAGGAAAGTTTCATACGTAAATGTAAGGGCTCTGCAAAGATTTGTCCAGGAAAGAATTTGTGCACTGGTACTTGCAGTTTTGTTCAGAGAGGATGTAAGTAAACCAACCTCTAAATTTGGGTGGACTTTGGAATTTGAAAACTCATATCTTCTGAGACATGGCATTCTCTATACCTTTGAGATTCTCATAGAATTTAGTTATGCCCTTGCTTCCCCCATTACTTACAATATCTGTATTCGGAGGAGGAGGTAGAAGAAACGTGGGGCTTGAGAAGGATAGCTCTTTTTGGAGGCAGGAAAGGATGCTAGTTGGGAAAGAAATGTTGAACAATTTCCTTGCTGTACAAATAAAGCTCAGTAAATAATGAATGTTTCACTTTGTTGGCAATTCCAAAAAATTGTGGGAGGGGTTTTTTCAGGCCCAACTGAAAATGAAATTTAAGAAAGTTTTCAAGGAATCAGAAAGTTAAAGAAAAGTCTTGGTTCTAGTACTAACTTTCGTTCAAGCGGTAATGAAATGTTTCATTTCTATTTTGAGTATTATTTGTTTTTCTTTTGTATATAAGTAAAGGAAATTTCAAAACTAAAAGTAATTGTTGATAAAAATGAAATTTTAATTTGAATATTTTCAACGTTGAATTTCTGTATGTGTTTGTGATCACAATAATTTGGTGAAATTGACACAAATGGAAATGTTAAGGTATTGCTGACTTCATTTTTTTTACTGAAAGACATTTTGGTTTATAATTTTGTACAGTTCTCTCTGCAAATGGACTGATTACTAGTGTTGTGCAAAACAGGCTGAGCATTGTAAGACAATACATTTATGCCCCAGGCTCTTTTTGAGAGAGTCTGGGGTTTTGATGTGAATCATTTGTACGACCGGTTGTATTCATTGAAATGGAATGAGTGGATCCAAAGAGTTAAAGGTGTTACAGTAACCCTGTTACTGTTCAATATTAAACAACATTTGGAATTTGCTATCCAGATACCTCAACCTGCTTAGTATTATGGCAAATGCAGTGTTAAAAATTTTTACAACTGTTTCTAAAAGATACAGTAAAGACGTGCAAACAGTTCAACATTTCATATGCTTTAAGTACTGAACAAGGCTTTCTTTTTAACAGCATCTCTTGTTCCTTTTCTCTTTAACTGTAGAGTCTTTAAAAATAAATCTTGTGGTAGGCAATGTTTGATATGGTAATAACTATATTTTGAGGGGGAAAAAAAGTTAGTTTAAAATCCTGTCCCATTCGTTAAAAGACAAAACAAGAGAAATGCATCAAAGGGGAGAGAAAAAGAACACCAAAGGGAGAAAAGACAACTTCTGCTTCTTATTTGTAGCCTCATTGCATGAGAGACATAGGCACATCACAATATCTTATTAACCACTCCAAGACCTGGCAGCTTGTACCAGCATCGTGCTGTTTGGGGCATTGCTTTTAACTACCTCTTTAGTTATAGGCTCAGAGCAGTGTAGCAAAACATGGCCAGCTAAATTATACTTTTATTAGACAGAAAGGAAAAAGGAGAGGAATAAGAAAGAAGAGAAATAAGGTGGGAAAGGGGAAAAAAAACCACACAGGTCGGGCTGGGAGCTGCAAAGTTTCATATCCCAGATGGTAACTGGCATGTGCCAGGGATCCTTGAGATCTCCATGTAACACTGGCCATAGATCTCTTCCAATCTAATGTCTGAAGCAAATCTTTCAGAAAAGCATCCAGTTTTGATTCAAAAGTTCAGTGAGGGTGAGTATGAGTTATTGCCGTTCTGAATTTGTTTAGCTTCAACTTCCAGTCATTGGTTAATATTATAATTTTTTTTTTTTTTTTTTTTTTGCTAGTTGACAAGCCCTTTATTAGGCCAGATAAAATCTTTTAAAATGTAGAACCAGAGTCCACAAAACTGTTGTTTTATAAGTTGCAAAAACAAAAACAAAATTAAAAATACCCCAATTTTATAGCCCTTTCAATAAGTTAGCTCTGGAAAATGGTATCACTGGGTGACATAGTCATGAACAAGAACACAGAAGTAAATCAAATGTTTGAACAATTCTAAATCCCTCAGGAATAGATTCACTACTTTATATGCTTTATTGGCAGCCTCTAAATGAAATTCCATCTTAAAACTATTCTTTACATTTTACACATGTTGATAACACAAGATAAAGATACGTCCATGTGACCACCTTGTTTTCTTTGGAACTAACATGTAAAACTTCATGACTGTGTGGTCATATACCTTTTTGTACTAAAATTTGCGCCATTTAACATGAAATAAAAATTATTTAAAGAGAGACCTTGTGCCATTTTCAATAAGTTGTATTAAATGATCTTTTGCCCCACCCCAAATATAGACATCTATATTTCTGACTTGTATTTGTGACTACTTTTCTTTCATATTTCATTAATTATTTTATATACCCTTTGTGATGCCACCTGCAGATGGCATTTAAGTCTGTAACTTTACTAACTTTACATGGAATTGCACCTGCTCACATTAGTAGGAATTTGATACTTGTCAAGGGCATAATCTGTTAAATTGTCACTGAGTCAAATATGGGCACTAGTCCATTGGAGGATTTTGTTTTATGTTATAGTATTTTCCATAATATGATATTTATATATTGTAGGGTTTTTTTAACAAAGGAAAATATTTAATAAAGGAAAACAATTCCTGGGTGTTTTTTAACTTGGGGATTCAAGAGGTTTATAAACAAGAGCCATTCAGTGTTTGCCAGGACACAGATTCTTAAACTGCAAACCTAAAGTGCGTGGAAAGAGAAACATGATTATTGATTTTTATAGTTGCTTAATTATCAAGTTAATTCCTGTTCATTAGCCAAAACCACTAAATCCCAATATTAAATATCACTGAAGTCTCTTGTGTTTCTGCCATTTATCTGCTGTGTACACAACTGTACAAATTACACTTTTCAGTATTTTTGAAAAAAAGTGTGTATATATGTGTGTCTAATACGTAGTGCAATATATAGAGAGGAATATAAGAACACATGATGGTGTATCATATAGATTTTATTTAGTTGAAAAGTGACCAGCATGGATATCAACCATGGCAAAGAAAGTGATGTTAAAAATATTGCACTGAACCCTCCTATATTTTTACACCTATTTTTTACAGAGTTGGCTGGGGGAAGGATGGGAGCTTTCAGAGTTCTTTAAAAAGATATTGAAACCATTTTATCATATTCTTTCTCCTGTGCAGTTACTGTACCTCACTAACAATCTAAGTACGCAGGCATCAAGGCAAAGAAAAATGTTAACTAATTCATTTTAGAACCCTCTAAAAATTATTTACGATAACGTTCATGTAGACAGTGTCAAAGTTATAAAGGCTGATAACACATGACCTACTATCAATAGAATCAGTGGGCTACATCCCATTGTAAAGAAGATTCACAAAATACCACTGAAATACAACATAGTATCTGTATTTGACAGTTCCCGATCGTTTAGAACTAAATTTTGTCACAGGGACAAGAATTAATGCTGTCCATCTTGTACCTTAGAATATTTTTATCTAGGGAACAAAGTCCACATTTCAGGTAAAGAGAGAAACCTTATTTGTGGCTTTCTTAAAATAATGTAGCTATCATAATATACTTGGCAACTCTTGGAAGCTGCTTTGAGGTTTAGAATGTTGGACATAATCTCAACAGAGTGTTCAAATGTGGAGTACAGAGAGGTGCGCTTTTGGATCCGTGGAGGTTGTCTTCTGTGCAGCAGAAGATGGAAGAAGGTATTTTTGGCCACTATAGCTAGTTTGCGTATCCAGCAGCAGTGAGGAATCCAGAAGCTCTCCAAGGGCATGCCTACACAGGCAAAAGGGCATGTCTACACGGGCAAAAGTCAAATTAAGCTACACAACTTAAGCTACGTCAATTGCGTAGCTGAAGTAGAAATAGCTTGATTCAGCTTTTGGCACTGTCTACATAGCAGGAAGTTGAAGGAAGAGCACTCTTCCTTCTACTTCTCTTACTCCTAGTGAAATTAGGTTTACCAGGTGTCAGAGTTAGGTGTCTAGACTACATCTGTTTGTTGAAAAAAAACTATGCAAAATGCGCTCCACATTTTGCATACCTTTTTCCTATTCTTTTGTTGGAAGAGGCTTTTCAGATTGTCTCTAGACTGGGCCACATGTCAGAAAAAATCCCTCTTTCGAAAGCCCCCTTCTTCCTTGTAGAATGAGGAATACAGGGGCTTCCAAAAGAGCATGTTTGGTCTTCTGCA